TTGGTACAACAAAACCTAAGCCGAATGGAGACAGGGGGAGTAGTGAAACTAGAAGGGAAGATAAGGACTTGGTGTGTGATTATTGCAAGAAACCCAAGCATACCAGGGACACTTGTTGGAAGCTTCATCCAAATCTTATACCTACTCGGATAAGAAACAAGAAGGGAAATGCAAATGTAGCCATTATAGGAGACTCTTCAGCCCCTCTTTCCCAAACTGATTGGGAATCCATTGCAGTAGCAGCAATGAGAATAGAATTGGAGAGATTTGGCCAGCTTATGAGTAAGAAAGATTCACCTAGCTCTAGCCTTCCAGATGGACAGTAGAATGCAGGAGCCAACTACACCACTTCCTCTGCACATACAGGTAGTTCATATGCAACTGCAAATCTTACATCCACTTCAGATAAGGAGGGACCTCCCTGGATTATAGACTCAGGAGCATCTGAGCACATGACTAATGCCCCTACCCTTTTCAGTTCCTATCAGTTGTGCTCTAGTAGAGACAAGGTCTCTACAGCAGATGGTTCACATATGCCCATTGCTGGGAAGGGGATAGTTAGAGTGACCAATGATATAACTTTGTCTTCTGTTTTACATGTCCCTAGACTTCATACCAACCTACTATCTGTTAGTTCTTTGACAAAAGATTTGAATTGTTCCGTGACATTTCTTCCTGGTAATTGTGTTTTGTAGGATCTGGAGTCAAAGAAGATGATTGGGAGTGGTTGTGAGGTGAATGGAGTCTACCTTCTGCATGAGATTCCGATACATCAGGGCCATCATGTTAGCAGCAGTAGTAGTAGTGGGTTAGAGTCAGTGAACCAGATTATGCTTTGGCACAATCGCTTGGGACATATTTCTTTTAGTTCTTTGAAATGTCTTTTCCCAAAGTTGTTTGAATCTGTTCAGTTATCTACTTTGGAGTGTGAGAATTGTCAGTTAGGAAAGCATTGTAGACAGTCTTTTAAACCAAGTAATAAAAGAAGTACTTCTGCTTTTAATATTGTTCACACTGATGTATGAGGACCATATCATATCCCTTCCATGGGAGGATTCCGTTACTTTCTCTTGTTTGTGGATGATTATACACGATATTCTTGGATATATTTGATGAGATCACGTGATGAGATTCCTAACTTGGTACCACAATTCCACCAGATGGTTCTCACACAATTTGGAGTGAGAACTAAGGCTTTTAGATCAAATAATGCCAGAGAGTACTTTGAGTCGGACCTGACCACGTATCTCTTAGAACATGGTGTAGTTCATCAAAGCAGATGTGCATATACACCGCAACAGAATGGAATTGTTGAGAGGAAAAAACACATTGTGGAGGTGGCAAGGAGTCTTATGGTGTGTGCTTCAATTCCTGTGCAGTTCTGGGGAGATGCAGTTCTTACAGCCGTGCATTTGATTAACTGTGTTCCTTCATGGACTTTGGGGTTTAAGGTGCCATTTAGTCTTCTTCTCTCAGATGGGGAGATATTTCATATACCTCTGAGGGTTTTTTGTTGTGTTTCCTTTGTTCACATTCTTGGCCCTCATTGCAAGAAATTGGATCCTAAGGCCAAGAAATGTGTTTKTCTTGGGTATGCTTAGAACCAAAAGGGGTATTGTTGTTATGACCCAGTGTTGAGGAGTAAATATGTCACTATGGATGTTACCTTCTTTGAATCCACCTTTTTCTTCTCGAGTGGTTCTCCTCGGGGGGAGAGTTTTGGGGAGGAGAACTCACAATCTATTCCTCTTCTTGTTTCTTTGGTGCCTCCATCAGTTCAGCCAGCACCTGCATCAGTTCAGCTAACACCTGCACCTCCAGTTTCATTACCTGAGCCACTACGGGCAGCCTCACAGAAATATCAACGCCGACAGATGATGGTTGACTCTACACATCCTCAACCCACACCACTCTTTGTTAGTCCTTCTGAAACTCCAGATTCGGCAAATACAGTTCCAAGTATTCCTCTTGAGCTTAAGCCTATTATGTTTTCTGATGATAATGTTCCTATCCCCAACACCATTGTGACAACTGATCCCACTGACCTTAATCTTCCCATTGCACTTCGTAAGGGGAAGAGAAAGTGTACAGCCCACTGCATTTGACACCATCTTTCCTATAGTGCCTTATCACCCTCCCGTGCTTTTCTTTCTTCCCTGGATTCTGTGTCTATACCCAAGAATGTTACTGAGACTCTCTCCAAACCTGAGTGGAAAACAAACATACAAGATGAGATGGATGCTTTAGTCGAAAACCAAACTTGGGAAATAGTTGATCTCCCCCCAAACAAAGAGATAGTCGGATGTAGATGGGTATTCACAGTGAAGTATAAGGCCAATGGCAAGATAGAGAGGTACAAGGCAAGGTTGGTAGCAAAAGGGTATACTCAAACCTATGGTGTTGATTATCTAGAAACCTTTGCATCAGTAGCTAAGATGAGTTCAGTTCGTATCCTTTTATCTCTAGTAGCCACCTATTCATAGCCCATGTTCCAGCTTGATGTCAAAAATGCCTTCCTCAATGGTGATTTATAGGAGGAGGTATATATGGACATTCCAACAAGCTTTTATGAAAATGTTGGTAAAGGAAAGGTGTGCAGACTCAGAAAATCTCTGTATGAACTAAAACAGTCATCTAGGGCTTGGTTTGACGGGTTTAGAGGGGCACTCATCCGTTTTGGATACACACAGACACAGTCTGATCACACCCTCTTTGTGAAGAGGAGACATGCTCTGGTGTCAATTCTGATTGTGTATGTGGATGATATAGTGGTGACAGGAAATGACTTGGAGGAGATTGATGATTTCAAAAAATCATTGCAGCAAGAATTTGAGATCAAAGATCTTGGTGAGCTCAAGTACTTCTTGGGGATTGAAGTTGCAAGGTCCAAGCATGGGATCTTCATTTCACAGAGAAAGTATGTACTTAACCTATTGTGGGAGACTGAAAAGTTGGGACCAAACCAGCAGACACTCCTATCGATCCAAAACATAGATTTAATGGTGTGGATGGTGAGTTGGTAAAGGATGTGGGGAGATATCAAACAATGGTGGGCCGACTGTTGTATTTGTGTATGACACGACCAAATATTTCTTATGCTGTCAGTGTTGTGAGTCAATACATGCATACACCTCGGGTTCAACACTAGGAAGCTATTGAGAGAATACTTGCATATCTGGAAAAGCACCCTGGCAAGGGCATTCTTTTCTTAAATCATGAGAATCTGAAACTAGAATCCTATACAGATGCAGCCTGCGCAGGGTGCTTAGATGACAGGAGGTCTACATCAGGAGTGTGTACCTTTGTAGGTGGAAACTTGATCTCCTAGAAGAGTAAGAAGCAAGCGGTTGTGGCAAGATCAAGTGCAGAGGCTGAGTATGGATCTATGGCTCATGGTGTCTCAGAACTTCTTTGGGTTAGATCTCTTTTGAGTGAGATTGGGGTGAAAGCAGAGGAACCTATGATGTTATACTGTGACAATCAGGCTGCAAYCAATATTGCCCACAATCCAATTCAGCATGATAGGACAAAACACATTGAAATTGATAGACATTTTATAAGAGAAAGGGTAACAACTGGAGAAGTTTGTTTGCCTTATGTCTCTTTAGAGTTGCAACTAGCTGATATTCTCACTAAAGGGGTGGCAAAGAATAAGCTTGAACATGATCTACGCAAGTTGGGAATGTGTGACATTTACTCCCAACTTGAGGKGRAGTGTTGAAGATTAATYAGTTTTATGATGTTTTTCTGAGTAGATGTTTTATGTTAATTGTTAGATAGGAGGTGGGGACCACAGTAGTTATGTGAGTCCAAATTTTATTAAGTTTTTGAGTGTTATACATGATGTTTTATGTTTTGCCACCCTATAAGGGCATAGTTGTCTTTGTACTGTTCTTTATTTTTAGTATAAATAGTAAGTGAAGGGGACGGCCAGATTATTGTTCTCTTTTCTTTTCAACTTCTCTTCTTCTCTTCTTCTCTTCTTCTCTTCTTCTCCTTCTCTCTTCCTTCTCTCTTCAAGAAATTACTTTCCTTTCATATTTTTTTAATTCAGCAGATTTCTACTGAAATAAAGTTCAGTATAGGAAAAGTCTGTCTATAGTTCAATTCCAAGAATTAAAAGTACATCCAAAATTTGGTCAAAAGATTGACTAAAGATTAAAACGTGTGTAATATGTTGTCTTTTATAAAATAGGGCAGTCCAGTGCACGAGGCTCCCATCAACGCAGGGTCTGGGGAGTGACAGATGTATGCAGCCTTACCCCTGTACATACAGAGAGGCTGTTTCCAAGATTTAAACCAGGTCACAATGGAGCAACCCAACCATTGTTCCAAGGCCCACCCTCTTTTCTTTTATAAAATACAGAATGAAAAATTTTGGCATATTGAAGCCTAGGTGAAGCCCATCTAGCATATCTTGAAGCCTAGGTGAAGCCTGCCCCATAGCTGTCAAGGTGAAAGCCTAGGTGCTGCCTAGGCAATAACATGCTTTTCTTGGGGTCACCTTCCAGACTTCAGAAGCCAATGTTATACAGTCTTCAATAATTGACTTTGTGCAAAGAAATTATCATTTTACATCTCTCTAGAGTCTTAGACTAATATGGCTGATTTTTTCTTTTTTTGGACAGCCAGAGAAACTATCTTCTTTCTAGCTTATGGTCATCCTAAATTCCTTACCATACTTGCATCCACTCATGACTGTACAAATAGAATAATCCTAGGATATCTCCAAGTCTCAAAGCAGCCCCATGTAATCTCCCACCGTGGGCCTGCATCATAACAGTTGACTGTAGACTGACTTGGAATCAGATGGGTTTAAAAGTTTGACATTTTGACCACTAACTTCATTTTTTTCCTATTTTGAATTAATCTTTATACCACATCAGTATGGTGGCTCATTCAGTATACAGGAAGACGCAGGTGATGGCCCAACTTCCAAGCAGTTCAACTATCTTATCTGGCTCATGCAGTTTCAGAAATACAGCTTAAAATTAACTTTATAGGAGTTGCAAGGTAACAACCAGCTGGTTGGTAAGGTCTCCTGCTGGTCGTAGCAGGGACTTGGGATCAAATCCCACCTGCACTTGGGTTGGGGGATGGGCTACCCCTGTTGTGTAGCCCTTAAAATAAATAAAAAAAAAAGCCTAACTTTACTAGGAGTTAGAAGATTTTGGGTTTTCATCTATACTCATTAACAGTTAACACTTTTTTTTCGATCAGCAAAATGAGAATTTTATTCAATTAAGAGAATTAGACACAGAGTTACAGCAATTAGAAAACAGACATTGCACCAGAAACTGTTACAATAAAGCCCAAAAAGCTGTTTCCTTTGAACCCCCTGTTTGGCTAGAGAATCAACCATTCCATTTGCAGTTCTCCTGACCCATGTGAATGAGACATTAAGTTCCCTTGCTAATGCTTACTATCTCCCTTAACGGATATCTATATATCCAAGGAAGATTCCTGCTTGAATTGGTCCAAGATATCACTATTTTTGAGTCCTCTTCTATCTCCAAGTTCTTAATATCTGCTTGCTTGGCAAGTTTTAACTCTTGTAGTAGAGCTAATAGTTCAGCTTTTAAAGAATCACCTTCCCCTAAAGGTCCTAAGTACATAGCCAATACTTTGTTTGAGGAATCTCTGATCACACCACCAATGCCTGCCATACCCAGGTATCCTATGGAACTCCCATCAAAGTTCAGCTTAATCTTGTTGGGACTTAGGGGCTTCCACTCCATCACCTTTCTTTCTTTCTTCTCAGCAGTGTGTGCCACTTCATTCCACGCTCTTACTATATCAGAAATTGAGAAATTTTGAAAGAGCTGGAGTGATTTCACCCAGTGTCTAGGTTTAAAATACCGATACAGGCCGATATGCCAGTAGGGATGTATCGGCCTGTATCGAAGCTCACTCTCCCTTTTTTTTCTTTGAAACTGGTTCAGAGGGGCCGGTCTAAGGCTGGTCTACCCCCTGAACCAGGCCACACCCCGATACGACCCCTGTAGGGGTGTATCACTAAGCCAACGATTGCCCGATATGGGGCATACTGTATCGAAATTTTGAACCTTGCCCAGTGTACAACTTTTATCTTTATGGCCTCCACTAGATCATCTTTTGACTATACTTCTCATTGAATATTCTTGCATTCCTTTCCTCCCATATTGTCCACACTGCCACTGCCCTTACTGATTAACAGTTAACACTTAATACCAAAACCCAATTGTCCTAACAAATATCAATGATATGGCCTGTACTTTAAATCTTTCAGAAGTCAAACATCCTGCATTGATGTGAAAAATCAGATTGTGGTGAAGTATGAGAGTGAGACCACGGCCATAACATTTCTTTCCATCATAGATTCAAGAGTCAATTATAAGTTGAAGAGGCTAGAAGAGGCTAGAAATATTAGCACAAGAATCTATTATAAGTTGAAGAGGCTAGAAGAACTAGGGGCAGACCAAAAAGGGATGGGTTGAAGTAATAAGAAATGATTTAAGGGCTCATAATTTAATAATGGATATGGCACTGAACACAACAGAATGGCAGAACAGGATTCATGTAGCTGACCCCATATAGTTGGGACAAGGCTTAGTTGATGATGATGATAACAGCGATGACAACAAATGTCACTGAAGTAAGAATGATAACAAAAATCAATAATCAAGTAAAACTATGAAGTCCTAGAAGAATCAATTTTCATATTTTAGATGTATCAATTTGTCAAAGCATAACTACTACAAATTTTAGTTTTGCCCATTGATTAAAGGGAAAAGAGAAAATACATTTTGTTTTTCCCAGTTATATCCATAAACAATCTAAGAATATCTAATAAGAAACCAACCACTTGGGAAAAGTTTGATTTCTTACAGTATAATGAATATCTCGCTCAAAGGCTGCAGCTATTTTTGCAGCTTTGTAGTACCGATCACTAGGTTTCTCAGCAGGTCCTGAGATGATGAGAGGAGTCCTTGCCTCATCAATAAGGATGGAATCAACTTCATCAATCACACAATAATTGAAACCCCTCAAGACAAGTTCATCAACACTCTGTAAATAGCACATTAAGAAATAAGCCCGCGAGGAGCAACTAAAATCCTAAAATCCAAGAGCAATAATCCACTTGCATGGAAAATGTCATAGCCTATAGACTATGATAAATTGGTAATCAGGTTAAAGTACATCAGTTGCAGCAAACAATAAAGGAATAAATACAATTTACTTGCCGTGGCAAGATTGTCTCTCAGGTAATCAAAGCCAAGCTCACTGTTGGTGACATATGTTATGTCACATAAGTAGTTCTCTCTCCTTTGTTCACTTGACATATTTTCTGTCAAACATAAAAACTTCATGGTTAGATTACAGTTACAATTGGAATTTTCAGTCAATGCTTATCCAGGAAAAAAGATACACAAATTTTGCACTTACTTTGAAGTAGGCAAACAGATCAAGTTTTTTTACTGGATACATCAAGCAAATCACGTTGTCAAGTTAAATAACTCAATTGAAGTTGGTTATTAACAATGAAGGTGAAAACGACAAAGATGGGAATAACAGTGGTGGTCATAATACAAACAACAAAGATAGTAGTGGTTGTAGTTGGGATTGGGAATGTTTTGCCATCATTATTTGAACATTTAGTCATTTGCATTTGGATAACATTGTTACTGGAGGGTAATCAAGGAAAACACCCTGAGGCTCAACCTTGAGGATGAAGCCCAAGGGTAAATGGTACATTTATTCACACTTTAGAAAGCCTTGTGTTGGGAACATGAGTTTCGCATGCTACTCAAATTTGAATGCTTATTGCAAGGTTATGCCGTAGAGAAATTCACAATTGTATTTTCATTATCTGCACAAATACATGATGAAAATACAATTGTATGAAAGTGAATATTAATGTAGTCTAATAAATACAAGCATAATCAGACAAACATAAAAAAGAATGAGACATACGTTGGATTAGGCCAACCTGCAGTCCAAGAAATCGTGGAACTTGACCAACCCACTCGCAATCACGCCGGGCAAGATAATCATTAACTGTAACAACATGAACTCCTTTCCCGGTTAATGCATTCAAATAAGCTGGTAAGATAGCAACAAGTGTCTTTCCTTCTCCAGTTCTCATTTCAGCTATTTCTCCTTTATGAAGAACCATGCCACCTACATGACCAACAATTAAAAACCTTAAAGGTTCTGGATTTAAAGGGGAATCTGGATTATCTATAGCTCATTTGAATATATAATCTAATAATTTATTGGTAAAATCATGAGCAGTATCCTAGCTTCTAACCTCTAAGGTATAATAAGCTTAATATTTTATTTACTAAGCACACAATGATTTCCAGATAAATCCTCTACGTTTTGTGTTCAATTTTACTGTCTGAGTGAATCTAATACAAGTGAATATCATAACAATCCAGCACAATGTGCCAAGCACTACAATGCAATATACCTATCAGTTGTACATCAAAAGGACGAAGACCCAGAACCCTTTTTGAAGCCTCTCTCACAACAGCAAATGCTTCCTGCCAATTAGGTTTCACTTTTTCAGTAAACAACAAAAGGTATTTTTTCTACACTAATATATATCATGAAATGGTAGTTAGAAGATGCACTAAAAACTGCAAGTTTCCCTATGGTACATGGCATTAAAAATGGGCCTTCGAAAAATAAAACAATGAAACCAAAATTCACATGACAATTTTTTTTTTTTGAACCTTGCCATGTGCCTTGCTTAGGTCTTTGCAGTTTGCACAACCAAAATGAGACATTAGTCAAATAAATGTGGACGTCAAAAAGCAATAAATCTGTCAGCAATCCAAATGTAGCCTTCAGTCAATATATGATTTAAATAAATCATAGATTTTACAGAAATTTGAATGGGCATTAATGGTTAATCAGCATCTTGTGAGATGAAAGATTGGACGAAGATATTTGTTCACACATATTCCTGGGTTAGACCACAATACAAAATCACAGACTATGCTAGGAAAATGTTCGACTAATGGAACATGAATCAGCTTATTATTATGTTGTGTTTGAGTTTATCAAACCAAATATTTATTAAAAAAAAACACATCAACAGAGACTGTGCTGCTACTAGCTGCAAAAAGATGGTTATCTGGGCACAGTACTCTCTGCTTATCTAAAACAGTATATTTTAATATTAATTTACAGACAACAGAACAACAGTGCAACAATTTTTATGGTTGTTGAGCTTGGTGAAGTCAACCACTATAGACTGTCAGGAAAATGCATCTAGCTGGAGGGCTGGACTAGATGAATGACAAAATGCTAATAATATCTAGTTGAAATGATGCAAAACTGAAAGTAGAGGAAGGGAAGTCAAACGCATTTCTCACAATGGCTCTCATGACAGGCTAGTAATCAGATTTTGATAAATCTGATGTCAACCTGGCTCAATTTCATGGGCCTGAAAATATTCCATAACAAGCCCAAGCCCAAGTGTGATAAATTTTTTAGTTGATCCAAAGGCCCACAACAGCTTATACCAGCAATCCCAAAAAATTTATTGCCAACTTGTATAAACCCGTGCAAACACTCCTTTGAACGTTAATTGAATGAATGAAGAGCTTTCTCTAGTAATATGTCTGGTGCTGACTTCAAACTCAAGAAGATGTTGGATCCTTCAACTCTAGGTGTCGAGTCTGTTGACTCCTAGAGAAACCTAATGGCATTGACTTCAAGCTTGTTTGGTACCATTGCTGCTTTCTCAGGCAATGGAAATGCCTTGGAAAATGATAAAGTATTCCGGGTTATGTGCACTTTTTTTAATATTATATGGTGCCAGCCATGTGCCATTAGGCACCACATAGGCAAAAAGGAGAAAACATTTTCTCCAATACAAGAAGCTTCATTTTGATGTTTTCTCAAAAAGCTGCTTGCACATAACCCGAGGTGAATCTGTTGCTTGTAACAGTTGGAAAACTCTTAAAAAATGAAATCAAATATGCTCCTCACACCAACCTCACAGCACATTGCAGCCATGCAGTGGGAACATCTCCCATGAATGACAACATACAAGTGTGGGAGATGTTCCCAACGCAGAGCTGAAAGTGCTGTGAGGTTGGTGTGAGGAGCGCTCTGTGTGAAGAACAAATCCCGATTCTTAAAAAATGCTCAACCAAATAGAGGATATGAGAAAATGCCTACATGGTGCTGACCTGGAGTGTTGGATTGAAGTCTGTATGTATGAGTATTCGGCTGATAAGAGTTCTTATTAGCCTATACTTAAGTTTAAGTTGTCCT